TTTTTTTTTCACTTTTGCATTAGCCCCCGTGAAATTACTACCATGATATAGATACGCGTTTTCATCCCCGTTACTTTTTAACGCACCTGCCATTACTTTTAATTTTAATTTTATTTTGCTCAAAAAGATCTTTGGCTTGGGCCATTGGGGAAGAAAGAGTTGGACGTTTCAATCACGGACGGAATAAAAAAAAAATTGACGCAAAACTCGTGAAATATCCTACTGCATATATAGTTACACACGCCAAAAAATTATCTGCAAGGGTGAATAATTGAAAAATAAAAATAAAAAATAAAAAATAAACACCCACTCGAGATAGATAGATGGCGTTAAAAGCTTGTCAGTTTCCCAAAGGAAGCACCCGGGCCTCCCTCCCGAAAAAAACCTCCAGGCCATTTTGCTGATGTAATCAGCCTTGGGTAGTTAGTTAACTAGTTAGTTACCAGTCCTGTAAATCCAAGCAAAAGAACAGAACCACAAAAAAAAAAAAAAAAAAAAGGGAAGGGTTGTCGAACAGGGCGGTCCGTTAAGCCTTACGTTACGTGGCCCCCATAAGGTTTTCGTTTTCTCATACAGATTATTATTATTATTTATTATTTTATGGCAAGGGATGGCTTCCTATGCTCTGGGTAGATATGGATCAGGCAAGGCTACTACAACGCTGGAAACAAACCCCTTATGGGAAGGTCGATTAGGGTGTAACTTATGCTTATGTCATTTTCATTTTTTTTTTTTTCATTTTTCATTTTTCATTTTTCATTTTGTTTAACTTTTTTTTTTTATAACATATCTTTACTTTTTGTGCATGAACACTGGAGCGAGCATCCATGGAATGGGTACGTCTGAGTATTATTTGGAACGTGCGGGTTTGTACGCACGGAAAGAGGAAGGAATGGGAATGGTTTCGTAGAGAAGGAAGTAGAATACGTAGGATTAATTGATGATGTTTGGGGTGGCATGGGGGGAATGGTGGGGGTCAAAAAAAAAAAAAAAAAAAAAAAAAATAGAAAAGGTAATAAATATATTCATTCAGGAGTCCCCGGGGAGGGGTAGTGGTAAGCAATCTATTTTTGTATATATGTCCCTGTATATCATCATGGCAAGAACAAGGAATGCATGTTACTTTACCAGCAATGAAGAGCAGTGATCAGCGGCGGGATCGAAATACATGATAAGCCATTTCTACCTAACCCCCATCCTTCCTGCCAACAAACTCACCATTATTAGATGCCTGCTGCACTCTTTGTCCCAGACATCGCCCATTCCTCACCGGCTCAAAAATCAAAAAATAGCAGGGTCCTGCTCGCGATGCCTAAGCCCTTATCCTAGGTCCATCCGTACCTAATAGATGCTGACCTATGAACTTTAAAGAGGGCAGATAGGCGGCGTCACGTAGGACGTGGACATATAGCACCCGGTTCGGCAAGTGGTGGGACATGGCCGGAATCGGGTTATCGTGGGAGTCTCCGAGCATGAGAGGGTTGGACACGGAGTGGTGGAGGTCGTAATGCTGATGCATGGCATGACGATGCATGTCGTCACCGGGCAGGTTGTCTGCTGAAGAGTAGTTGTATGAGTGTAGCAGGGCTTGATGTATCCGGGCGGCGGAGTGATTTGAGCATCTGCGGGAGCGGGGATAGCAGAGCTGTTTAGTGGTTAGTTCCGGAATGGGTTGCGGTCTTTGGAAAATGAGTGATGGAGGTGCCAATGTGAACAAGTACACATGGGAAAGGAAAGATACGGCAAAAGAAATGCAATATGTCGAGCATATAAGGAATGTGGTTCAAGGCTTGACCAGGGTCTGTTCAACACACCTGAAAGGTGCCAAAGAGAGAGCGAGCGCGAATAAAACTCCAACGCTTGACTTCATGTTTTCTTTTGAGGAGTAAAGACTTGAAACCTCTGAAATATCCCCCTTTTATGAAGGGGGTCAAGGACTGAAAACCTAAGTTTGATATCGACGATGGTCAAAACATTGAAGCTCGAGGGTCAGGGAGCTTTTCTCCTTTTTATCTCTTCGTCTCCGGAAAGGAGTTATTCATTGTCTTTAACAACAGCCCTGGTTAGACCAATGGCTGACCTAGGAATTGAAGGAAATTGTTCGCAGAAGATGCTTCGCCCCAGAAGAGGAGAAGGGCATCTTGGATTCAAAACAATCGGCACATTGCAAGGTCGAAACTGCATGGTAGTGGGCATGCAGGGTGGGCATGCAAGATTGGCGAAGTATTTCGTTGTCCATTGTTCAGACACAATCTACTTGAAATGGTTCGTTCGAAACCTCGTGCCAAGAGTGAAATGTCTCAAGAATCCAGATGGCCTCTTGCGAAAAGCTTAGACATTCGGGGTAATTGGTCGATTGACGAAGAGATAAGGATAACCAGCCTTTTAAGGCGCCGATCTCTTCAAGGGAATTGGTTTCTTCTGCGTAATTGATGTCATTGGAATATTCACCTCACTGCCAATACCAGACCCAACCCAAGTTAGTGGACTGATTTGAAGTAAGATATTCGAAAGAGCCGAGCTAATAATGTCTGTTCAGCACTGCCTGGTTTATGGCTCGTATTATTTACTTCACAAGCCAAGCCCTACACATGGCTGATGGAAAAAGCAAGTCTCCGCTCCTCGTGTTTGCTTTTGGGTCTGGTACCTCTGTGGGTGACGTTAAAAATTCGTTTCATGGTCACTGGTTTTCCGTGCAGACAGGCTGCCTTCGCCCATCATCTCCTTCATGTAGTTCTTGCCCACCTAGGGTGACTGTTTTCGCCGTTCTTGTGTGATTGGACTGAATCATAAATCCTGACCTACGTCTCATTTGAATGCCTGTAGCCTCATGGTAAAGTTTCCGCGCAAAGCAATTATTATATCGACGGAGATGCTATTGTTCGATTGAGGGACATCTGTATCAGTGCCCAACTTCACCGGACAACGGCGTTGTCAGAAGGGGAGGGCTCGCGAATTATATAAACCTCGCGCTAATAGTTAAATGTATGGTCAAATAGTTTTTCTGGCTGCGAGCAATGTTCCTTTTAAATGTGCCTTTTTGCATTCCGCCTGGAAGCTATCCATTGAGGTAACGATAATAACCACGTGACAATTTTCATTATCACGTGACTCATGCATCTGTGAGATATATGGCTGTCTCCTCTTAAACCATCCAAAAGCCAGTTCAACCGCCTAGCCGAACCGCGACAATGAGTGCCCAGGCATATTACGAGCTTTATCGCGGCAGCAGGTACTGCATGTCACAGTTTACTAATTAGTATGAATATCCGCTAACACCCCTCTCTTAGTATTGGCTTGTCCCTCACGGATACCCTTGATGATTTGATCAACGAGGGGCGAATCGAACCTCAGCTTGCGATGAAGATACTGTCAAATTTCGATCGCGTCATTACAGAGGTCCTTGCTGATAAAGTTAAAGCCAGGCTCTCTTTCAAGGTAGGGCTAATACCCATTCCGGCGGCCTGGCTCCTATTTGGTATAGCAATTTGGCTAATCTCTTTTGGACTTTCGTTGAAGGGCCATTTGGATACCTATCGCTTCTGTGACGAGGTCTGGACGTTCCTCATTAAAGATGCTACCTTCAAGCTCGATAATCAGACCACTGTTCATGCGGATAAGGTGAAAATTGTGAGTTGTAATAGCAAGCGCCCGGGTGAGGTATGAACTGGTGCTGGAGCTAGGTTGCCATTTTTTTTTTTTTTTTTTTTTTCAGTCTTCGCAATGTCATACAGGAAAGGCGCATATGGAGTTCAGCATTTTTCTCTACGGAAGTCTTGATGGAAGGCTTGATAGAATGCTTGATGAATGGTAGTTGGCATTTGTCTCCCTTCTTTACTTTTCGAATGTGATTTTACAGGCAAGGGAATTTTTGCGATTAAAACTAGCACAACAGACTAAATAGCTCGTGCCCAATGATACCACCATATTTTCCTTAACCTGACTTAATTCCCTTTTCTTGTGCTTCGTGATACCTTATATGAACAGCGACACTGGGTCCTTCTGTTGCTCTTCTCCTCTCACCCGTTGCCTCGCGAAAGAGGATAAATGGCTATAGTCTCGTCGTGCTCTTCCACTATGCAAAATACGTAATAACTTAAGCGATCAGATTCGTCAACTGTTAATGAGCAAATAATGAAGCATCAGTAGCAGTCCCACTTCGACCTTGGCATGTCCTGGGATTAAGGTTAGATACGCTAGGCTTCTTAAAGATTAGAGCACAACCACCTTGGACATTCCTCAACCTCCAGTCCAAGCCTCATCCATTTGGACCCAATCAACCCAGCTGCTGAACCCTTCGGAGATTGTTCAGAATAGCTGTAAACGGGATGGATGCGGCTCACACTATACCGTTTTTAAATTTTACTGATGGCGTAATGCCAACTTTTATTAAACCGGAGCAACTATCTTTAAAATTGGGTCTCTGCCCTCCACACCATAGCATCGCGCTCTAAAATCGTACGGTTCTTGAATTCAACCCACTCCGTTACGTACTTCCTGAACAGTATGCCTCGGACATTGCCATGGCAGGTCGGCGACAAACAGAGGAAAAGTACGACTCCCTCGACAAACAGCACCAAATGGCTGTCAAAATCAAGTCATGCAACTGGCACCAGATTGGAAAATACGCCAACCCCTAGGAGCACCCCGCCTCAAATTTGTATGTAATCTCTCTGCTGATTCCATGAATCCTCATACTAATGTAATAGTGCGAACTCCTTCTACCCCCCCACCACTTGAACTACCGCCTGTAGAGTTCGTGTTTCCCCATCCCCCTGGAGCATGTCAAGATAGCTAATGAGATATAGATTTATGAAAGAAGGCTTAGATAATGACGATCAGTATATTATGGTCGAAGACGAATTTCTAGCCACCGCACAGACCTTTACTCGTCATCTGCACCATGCCGAATATGTGCGTAAAAAGAACGAGGCAAAAGCCAAGAATGCCAATGCCATTGATGCTCTAGGTCGACCTACGAGCACGAAAAGTATTTTGAGTGCTGAAGCAAAGAAGAACATGCAGTCTGAAGAAAACTCAATGAAGCATAAGGCTACTCTGAGTGAACTCAAACGAGTTGCTGGGCGGCCCCCTGTGGACTCCGAGGTCGAAGATGAAGGTCTTGAGAGTGACGAGGATAAATTTGATGACCCTTGGATGGGGACTTCGTTGCAAAATTTGATGACACATCAAAGGAAGCACCTTCCCTTGCTCGGCTTACACGGCATCCGGTCCACGACTCGGGCCGCATTGGGTTTTTCGAAGGCCCCAGTTGACTTACCTGGAAAGGGTGCTAAAAAGAGCCGGAATGAAGACCCCACATCGACGCTGGGAGCGAATATCAACCTCCATATGGTCAGTGAATCTACGGAAGACGATGATGATCTTGATGCTCAACCCCAGAGGTCGAAATCCATTCGGATACCCACACCGAAACAAAGGCCTGCGTCAATTAGGAGCAATGCCTATACGGCAGATTCATTGTCTGCGAATACGAACGCACAACCGGCGTCACGATGTGATCCACAAGAAAAGATAGGAGCATCGAATGAGTCTGGCCACTCAAAAAGCCGCCGATATAGCACCTCTGCTCCTCCAAAACACACAAGTAGAATAATGAGATTACTCGATGATTCAGATGATGAACAATCAACAGAAATAAAGGAATATGAAATCAGCAATAACAAATACCAATATCGCAAACGATCGCCATCAGAAACCTCATCCAATAAACGCCATGGAAAAGATGCAAAATCCAAACAATCCCGCCTCAATGAAATCCCAACATTCATATTGTGAGGTGCGCATGAAAGCAAAAAAAATTCATTCCTCCTCTCAAAATTCGTTAAGCGTCGTATTCCAAAACCATTCGTAACTCTCTCCATTTTCATCTTCAACAAGTCATGATAAATGGAAACATCATGGGTCTTTCCTCCTAAATGCGAACCCAAATCGTCATGCGTCTTAAAATCTAACGTTTTCATAGTCTCTCGTCGATTGGAACACTGTTTATGTGTGCTGCCGCAGGAGTCTTAAACGGACGACGTCCGTATTTTCGGTCAGCTTTTCCTTCAACAGCTTGGCTTCATGGTAAAGCTTTTCTCGCTTCGACACGTGATAAAGCGCGCTGGAGTCACTGGGGGTGTTGTCCGACAATGCATCTCTGCTCAGATGAGTTAGCATTTAGCAATGCTTTTAACAATTGAGACTGGGGGCTTGTCCCGCAAAGTGCCAACTCAACCGGATGACATACTCCTTATCATACTGATGCATCGTGAATTCTACGCGTCGGAAATCCGTTGGGTGGCCCTGAGACGGAAACAACGCATATGAGTATGACAACAAACCCACTGCTGATTGTTGTGAGTACTCACAATCACCAATCGCTTTGAGTTCTTTCGCCGTCGTCGATGGATGGATTTGATCCATGGTACTAAACCCCCGAAACAGTCCATAATTATGGTTCTAGTCCACCTCGGCAATATGGCACGGGAGCTGTGGGATGGGAAACCCAAATCAACAACGGTGTTTCTGGCTAGTTTCGAAGGGAGGAATGCAAAGAGCAATTTGGAAAGGGGTTTTTATAGTGTTGCTTTGTCGAGTTACTCAAACTCACCCAGTAGAATCACAGAACTAAGTAACAATCCACAGCCAAGGAAGAAAAGCGCAAGGAAAGAAGCAAACTATATGGTTCACAGTTGCACAGTACAACAGAGATGTCTGATAACACAAAGAATATAAATCAAAGTGTCGACAACTTCCAACTTCAAGTTTTTCAAGCAAAACCAAAAGGACGAGAGAGAAACTGACAGGTCAGGGACTCAAATCTCGGTTAAAGGCCCTGTAATGTATCATCGAAGAAAGTTAAACAAAACCCCCCGAAGGCGAAGCCTGAACCGCGCGCAAAAACTGAACCGTAAAGATGAAAAATTCACAAGAAAGCAACAAAGCCGGACGGAGAGAGGGGGATTTGCCCGAAAAGATAAAAATGGAGGGTGCTGAAACGCACCCACCGTCAGCGGGCAAGGGCACAAGGCAGGGAAACAAGGCGCTACGCAGTCCACAGGAAATCCGCTCAAGGATAAATTGATTGCGATGAATTCTTCCTCTCCTGCCCGTGCCGCACCTCCATTCCCCCCTGTACAACCAAGCCCACCCCGTATGCTGAGTGGATAAGACCAAATAAATTGTAAATGGACCATTCCCCCCAGAGACACAGCACCAAGGCTGTCAATGCGGAGGTCGAGTTTTTACTTGTCGCGATGCCAGCCACAGATCGGAGGGCGGCGAGTTAGTTTCGCTCTGGTTGGCTGACGAGTTCGCTGCCACGACAAGTTCGTTACCACTGGGTGCATTTCGACCAACCACCTGTGTTGACTTTTTTTTAGATCGTTTGGCATCGAACATGGATAGTCAGCAATCAGGAACAGCGCTGATGGGCGTGGCGATGAGATGGCTGACACGAGTTGACGCAATGTTGCAACTGATCTGAGATGCAGGCCCACCACAGGCTGTGGACTCCGTATGGCGCCTGGAATCAGGAGAGACGAGCCTTTGTTTGATGTTCGTGTTCTTGAGACTTTCCATCCCTTTCAATGCAAGCGAGACTAGTCCGTAGCGGATCTAGAATCAAATACATCTCAATCGAGATATGCATTTTTGTAATGTACTCGGCTGCAGGGTGATATATCATTAGAGTGTTCCTGCTTCCTACACAGTGCAACCCAAGAGGACCGTATCCCACATCGGGAGCTGGCCAAAACAGGCATTGTTGACTCCCTCACCTCTAAGATGCACATATCCAACTTCAACCAAAAGCCCACTGAAGCGGGGCCTCCAGTTCTGAATGGGTTGGTCTCTCTTAACTCAGCTCTCAAATTGGACGCATTTTAGTGGGCTGTCAGCAGAAAAAGCATGGATTCGGCGGCTGGACTGAGATTGGTGCGCTCTTAATCAGGGGCATGTCAACTACTAGTGCAGGCTTTTCATTTGAGATAAATGAATGAGGATGCCCCGGTAAACAAACCTTCCAGATATACATCTAAGCATCTGTGTCATGGAGATTTATCGCCGCTCCGGGAATACGGCGTACACCGTACTTCAAACGTCATCTCCACCAAGCACATAACATCCCCCAACATTACAACCTTGCCTCGCCTCCGCTCTAGTGTTTTATACCCCCGCTTCCCCCTCATCTTCCGCCCTCCTAGCCTGCATTATTTTCAGTAGCATCCTCGATTTCACCATCAGCCTCTTTGAGTTCCATGTCTGTAACAGTTACCTATGATTTGAGAAGTTTTCTGTATGAAGCGCTTCAAAGAATCACTTCAAAGCAATCCGTATAGACTGGAAAACAGCCTGAGCCGTGGACATCTGTTGACGCTGGGTGACGCTACAGCATTGCATGGAGTCTCGGGAACAGCGCATGTGAATCACCCAAAAGCTTCAGCAGTAAGTTATGGCGGTGTCTCCGAGAATGGACATGCAGCAAAAAAAAACCCGAGACTCCTCCATACAGCTGCGCATCATGTGGCTTAGGCCGTGAATACGCTGTTCCCGCCTGCGGAATATCAATACCTTTCTAGATGGGCAGTTGCTGCGTCCAGAAGGTTACGCTGTATAATCGAGGCTGCTTGATTTGGCTTGTTGGGTGATTTGGATACGTTGTTGGATTTGAAACATGATGTCCTTTGCAATCCCAGGTTTCCTGAACCAAAATAGGAAAATTTTGCGACAATATCAGCGACCTCTTACCATGGGTTGCGGCGCCTGCTCTATTGGCCATAAATTGACACTCGGGACTTGTGGGGTCAATTCTTTCATGACGCCCCTCCGTTGATTGATGCCGTTAATGCTTAACTATATATGCATCACACATTTCAACGGAAACCACTGATGTTAGCAAGATGATACCGACTCTTTGGGAATTAACCTCTTAATCAGATTGCTATATTTAGGAACAAGCGAACAATTTTCAAGTGGCCGTTGGGATTTTGAAACCAAATTGAAGAAGTAGGATTCTCATTTTACGGATAGATCATGCAAGTCATGGGAAGGGTGGGGTCTACCCGCGATATCAATTCCACCTTCTTTCGAATCCAGTCAGCATTTCCTGCGATGCAAACCAAGTTCACACCTCAAGAGCATTTTCGAGTGCAACGACGGATATTTTAATGACTGCCACTCGTTGGAATTCAGCACGCCACAGGCTTAAGATAGAACCTGTTTTCAACTGCAAGCAGGCTCTATGCAACTCGCAAAAGAGGCATGCATGCACAATGCACAGGTATTGTAGATTGTGAAAGAGGCGATTCTATGGAAAGCTTCCCTTTGCGCTATACGCTGTATATGCATGACCAAAAATAACTTCTATCATGATCATCCCCACGTCACATCTTATATTTACCATAGCTGGCAAATTCCAGTAAAATTGTTCCGAGTATAGACGGATATGAGAAACTGAATAAATGGATAAAAATAAATAAATAAATACGCTGCTTCAATTATAAATTAAAATGGTTATTTTGGGTAGTCCTTCAAATGGAAGCTCTTCAGTCTGACAAACTGATCAAACCCGAACCTGCTCAACGTTACTCCGCGCCCAGAATTTTTCCATCCCGTCCATGCAAGGTCCTGTAGTAAAATGATGTTAGAGAATGCTTTTTATTATCGCAACCTATAAAATCAATATGGCTTGGCGGGAATCGTTTGGGGGAGGGGGGAAAGGAGAAGGTTATTTTCCTCTTCCAAAATCGTAATCCACTTACAGGACTTGGATAATCTGCTCTGTTGACGAAGACAGTTCCTGCTTCAATTTCCTGGATCAGCTCTTCAGCTCTAGCAACATCTTTCGTCCAAATGCTCGCTGTCAGGCCCAGATCGCTTTGATTCATTAAGTAGATCGCCTCAGCATCGTCCTTGACTTTGGCGACGGGTATGACCGGTCCGAATGTTTCTTCAGCCATCACTTGCATTTTGTGGTTCACACCAGTTAGAAGGGTGGGTTTAACAAAATTGCCAGCTGTGGGGAGGTTTTCGAAAGTCGGGTTCCAAGGCGTTTCATCTACTGCGCCCTTTTTGAGGGCATCCTCAATCTGGGCTAAAATGGTCTCCTTTGCCCGTTTCGAGATTACCGGGCCGATCTGTGTCTTCTCATCGAATGGATCGCCCACACGATATTTGCTTAGGACTTTCTTTACCTCCTGGATAAACGTATCGTGGACGGCTTCGTGGACGTATACTCTTTCGATCGCACAGCAGCTCTGGCCGCTGTTGAAAATAGCTCCATCAACGATCTCTTCCGCTGCCCATGCGACATCGACGTCGCTGCGGACATATGCCGGATCATTTCCACCAAGTTCCAAACCAACGTTCACAATTCTGTCTGCAGCTGCTTTCTGGACAGCTAGACCGCCTGCGACAGACCCTGTGAAACAGATGTGGTTAATGAGAGGTGATCGAACAATCGACTCAATGTCGATAGGAGAACCACAGTGGAAGTATTGCAGAACATCCTGCGGTAAGCCAGCTTCTTGGAAAATGGAAGCGATTTGTTCCACAATGGTTGGAGTCTGCGGAGAGGGTTTCAAAATCACAGAGTTTCCAGCAAGGAGGGCGGGAACTAGGCTATTCACAAGGACTAAGTACGGATACTATATATGATATAGTCAGCAAGAGATATCAACGGCGGAAACTAGAGAATGGATAAGCTCCACACCCGGTGTAATCTTTGGAGTATAAGAAAATGATATGCGCCAGAGAAGACGACCCCAGACATTGAAACTTACGTTCCATGGGAAGATGATTAACACGACTCCAACCGGTTCTTTCTTAATATATCTTTTAAATCCGGCCTCCGCCTCCGTATCTAACGTCCCCCCATCTCCCAGGACAGTAGACGAAATGCGATTCAGGTATTCACCTCGTTTTACCGCCGTTGTAATCTCGCCGCCGGTATATGCGATGGGGCGACCCATCTGCTCCGTCACCTCACGAGCTAGGATATCCTTCTTCTTTGCCAGAAGTCCAAGAGCGCGGGTGACAATTTCTTGGCGCTGGCCTAGGGAGGTTGACCGTGAAAAGGAACGGAAAGCATCCTGCGCCCTTTGTGGCAACGAGGCAAGCTCAACTGTAGAGACGCCTGGCCGGGTGATGATAGGATTATTGGTGATCGGGGAAATCGTTGTCAAAGTCTCTGCAGACATTTCTATATTCGTGTTTGCTGCTTTTATATAGCCCTGGCAAATGCAAACTGAACTCAATCGATTGCCCACGAAGTTCGGGAATGCGGAATGCTGAACGCGGAGAGAGCTACTTAGTATAGCCGATGAAGACAAGCCCTCGTAGCACTTTGTTCGAAGCAAATTCGAAATGCGCAAATGGACATGGCACCCTTCTGTATTCTGATACTATTCAGATGTGGCCATTGTTACATGCTGTTAAATACATATTAGGACAACTCAAAATAATCGTGGATGGTTTGCCGAAAATACTCTCATGTGACATCATCAAGTCCGTTTTGTCGCAACTATTATAATCCCGTACCATGAAAGGGCATCAAGGAGACAAGGTCTTCTTATATTCGAAACTTATGGAATCTTAAGTCTATCTATTTTTGATAGCAACTAGTCATTGTTCAATTTGATGAGTTCCCACCCCGAAAGGAGTCCAGCAAGCCCAATTGCACACACAACAGTCGAGCAGATATCTCAATATGGAACACCATCTAGCTCCGGCCTCCTGAGTGGTTTATTTGACTTCCTGCTCTTCCAGCCTTTCTCCAGTCTACCAATTAACGAGTCGATCTTTTTTGCACCATATCGTGGTATGTCTTTTGGTTGAAAATCGCCAGCACCTTAGCATCCGTTAAGCAAAGTTTCTTAAGATTTGCTACCAGCCATTTTTAATGAGGTTGAGACGAAGCAAGAGGAAGAGGATATAGCTGACCCTGATAGAGTCTGGCCTACCTTTGATATCTGCGTATTATAAGGCTGAGGGACGCCGAAGGTTACCATTGTTCTCTTGGACATACCTCAGCGCTCAGTGAGGGGAATATATCATCCTTTTCTGCTTTGACTCGCTGTTTAACGTCTCAAGCTTCGAATTGAGTTCCTGAGATAGCATTCGTGAGTACACTCAGAGCTCCTCCAGGCGCACGAGTTGGACAAAGCCTCATCGATCACTGAGCAGCAACATCTATTTCCTTTGGTGGCTTTCCAAAACCATTGTACTTCCAAAAAATGTGAACTTGCTCATCCTTCACTTCCTCGAATCTTGATCAATCTTCACCTCCATTTTTCTACAGGCAAAATGCTTGCAGTTTCAGTCCTGTCTTTCGAGTTATTTTCTCCGGAACGTCCCTCCCAAGCCCCGCTGGCGTTTTCTGCGGCGAAGATCCCATTACCCTCTTTTCCTTTCACGATTTTCTTCATCCGCTTGGATTTCCATATCAGCGCCTTCCAATAATTTATTCCAAGATTTCGATCTCTTGGACAATGAATGGCCCCCTTCGGAGTTATGATTCCAAATGGTACTGGCAAAGCTATCAACTTGTGGCTAAATGGTACCAAGCTAGAAATGAGTGATACTGGTTAGCCTTACGATCTTTATATTGGATGGCTGTATTCTGGTGATATCCGGACGCCATAGAGTAGGATGAAAATGTTCCGGGCGACTTTGATTCCGGTGGACTTTCAGGTCATGAAATGTCTCGCGACTCACGAAATTTTGCTGGTTTACACTTCCTTGATTGTCAATGTATGTGGACATTAATTGGGTATATTAGACGTATTAGGGCATCAATTATCACCAGCTTATCATCGAAGGCTTGCGATACATCAAAATAGATGAGGGAGTGGCTTTTTGTGCGAGGTCTAACCAGACTGACCCTTACAAAACCAGAGAAAACAGAGACAGATAAAGCAAAGAAAAATATAAGACGAACAACAATGACATTTGGATTGTACATTTTCTTTATTCGCGGGTACATCTAGTGCGGTTCCCCGTCTACTCCAGACGCTGATTTAGTCCACTGTGTTCTAAGAACGCTCCCAGCTACTCTTAATAACTAATTACCTGTTGGCCAAGTACATGTTACGTAGTCCATGCAAGGATGCATGTGCCAACCACCTATGTACTTTGGACAAATTGGCCATAATAGTAAGTCCCTTTGCTAATGGCCGCTGAAAACGGAAGACAGGACAGCCAAATGGAAAGAATGAAAATATAGGCGGCAACGACATAGTGGAGCTCATGTTATCGAAGTCTTGTGAGATCTCTATTAGTGTTTTTGGAAACGAATGTTGACCAAGCAGGGAAAGAAGAAGCAATGCAAAAATGGGGGGTCTGACGATTGAATATATTGAGTTTCATATCGTATCGTATCGTATCGTGAGGTGAATAGGTTGATTTCAACATTAGGTACAGATACTGATCGAGGTATATCTATGAATATGTGCTTGTACTTGCCACTGAATCCTCTTGAGTACAGTCGGTAGAGGCCGCGGCTGTGCAAAATCATGAGCTCTTCATGATATTTAAGGTCAAAGGCCAAAGAGAGGACGGAGAGAAATTCAGTGACTTAAATATTTAAATCTGCATTGGTATGTAGATTGACGAGTTAGGAGCATGGCTCACAAAGGTGTATGAGAGCGCTATGGCGACCCTCTCCAAACAAACCCCTTCTTCACCCCAGTGTCGGCCTCTCCGTGATTCTAGCATCAAGACTGGAGAGCAAAGACACGTGTCTTCCAACCAAGCTATCATAGGAAAGACCTTTTGGCTGACTTATGACTTTTCATGACTATTTTTCATCGCAGGAGCGTCATTAGGATGTTCTAGCATCCAAAACTGCATGTGTTTCTGTTCACGAGATATTCAGTTCCAAAACGTGAGTACCAGATGCTTGATTTGCCTCCACGACAAGGAGTCATAAGCTCTCTGTGTCCACATGGTTCCAAGTGGTTAGGAAAAATGCCTGGTGTTCTGATATGTTCAAGAAGCAAACTGAGGAAGCCCTCCCAAATCAGAGAGTTGTCGCGTCCAGCATACCCAGGATGGTCATCTAGGAAAGGCTCTTCATTTCAGAAGACAACATGGCTGGTTGACTGGCAGTATTTGGAAAACTGGCACAGAATCGGAATCGCAGTTTTCATTCCGAAATCCATTTAGTCGTCATGGTTGAAATCGAGTCCGAGTCGCGGCTCGCGACTCCACCTCCAAACCATTCCCTGATGATGCGGATGCAGCGGAACCGCTAAAATAGGAATTCCAGAGCTAGGAGCAAAGGTATGACTCGGAAAGGGTAGTGCACAAACATCCTTTGGAATCCACAGCTCAAACACGAGACAGGATGCTTTGGAGATATACAGTTGTTTGCAGGAATTGATGTTGTGGTCTGGATGCCAAACAAACGAAATGCCAAACAGAGCAAATGGTGCAAACATGGCTACTCCGCATTAGACTCAACTTTAAAAGCTCCCCAAAGCGTCATCCCTCGCCGGCTTGCCACGATGCTCGATGCTCGATGGGCGGCGGCGACACCAACAAGGGGCGGGAAAAGCGGAGAAAAGAATGCATCTGGAAGCAGAATGCAGCATCTCACTCGAAGCCAGACGGGGAAGACAGTGCTCTCCCCCAATTGACTCATTTTTAATTTAACGCTAGGCCCTTGGTAGCTGAGCGATGCCAAAGGCTTCAAGGCTTCCGAACATCCTACGTCATCGTCGGTGGAGAGAATGGTGACTTTTGGGCGGTTAGCGAAATCAAGGCATCATTACACTTCTCGCACAACCCTGGTTGGATTCCTGATCCTCACTGAAGGAGTGGCATAAATCTCAGTTTTATGGGTCTCTAACAACCAAGGTTACTTCCGGAGGAATTTTAGTTGTTGCGATTCCTTGTCCGCATACGAGACAACCTGCTAGAACAGTGACCAACACGGACGACGGACGTCTCTAGGGACTAACTCTAGAATCCCATATTGCTTCGACGGCCCGCCACACGGACCAGCGGCACATGTCAGAAGCGGCCCCATCCAGTTGGCAAAAACGTTCAGCCCTGGCACTGGATGTGGATCAGTGTCTTGGATCCTGTTTAAACTTCCTAAATATAGATATTTAAAATATACGTCTCGCTCCTCTCAAATGTCAATTTTCTGCCAGCTTCCGTCATTTCGTCATCTCTTATCTGTCCTTGGTCGGGGAATACCTGATACCTGATTGATATTCATTTCTCATCTCTATACCTGACTTGGCAATTCGTTGTTCTATATCTTAATCCTCAGTCGTTTTCTGCAAAATGGCGCCTTCCAAGTTGAGCAGCGTGCCTATTATAGACATACATGTCAATGATTTCAAGGACTCACTGGCTAACGAGATCTATACTGGCCTCAAGCGTCCACACGGAGGAGCAAAGTCCTTACCGACACTCCTTCTCTATAGTACCGAAGGTCTTCGCCGCTTTGAGGCATATATACGCTACTTAGATGAGTATTATCTAACCAACGCTGAAATCGAGGGCGATACGAGCACGCAACCAGGATAGTCAACCAGCTCCCGGAACCATGAGAGAACTACTGGAGCTTGGTAGCGGGTGTGTTCCCTCCAACTATCGCCTCCGCGCGAGGATATGAACGAGCCCCAAACTAGCTCCTCCCTGTGACAACTATTTAACTTTACTTCTAGGAATCTCCGCAAGATTAAAATATTGTTGGACGAGTTTGAACGAAAGAAAAAGGCTGTTGAATATTTTGCTCTTGATCTGTCCCTAGAGGAGCTTCTCCGTACATTCGCTGAAATTCCTCCGGGAGGTTATAAATATGTCCAATGTCGCGGCCTCCACGGAACATATGATGATGCTCTTGCCTGGTTGGCGAAGCCGGAGAATAGACAAAATCCAACCTGTATTATGTCTATGGGATCATCCATCGGCAATTTTACTCGTCCGGAAGCTGCTAAGTTTTTGAATCGATTTTCGAGGATGCTCGGGCCATCCGATTCCTTCCTTGTTGGAATAGATGCTTGTAAAAATCCTGACAAAGTGTATAGGGCTTACAACGACAATCATGGCGTGACCAAGGACTTTTACATGATGGGGCTTTCCCACGCCAATTCTATCCTCGGATTTCGGGCATTCAAAAAAGAAGATTGGGACGTGGCTTGTCGTTTCGATATGGCAACTGGATCACATAAGGCCTATTATGTTCCAAATGTGGACGTCTCCTTGGATGGAGTGGTCATGAAAAAGGGTGAAAAGATATTGTTCGAGCAGGCTTTCAAATACGGACCCAAGGAGTGCAAGGACCTGTTTCAACGCGCGGGAGTAACGCCAATAGCACAGTTTAGAAATTGCACTGGTGAATATTGTAAGTTCTTTTCATCGTGGTGGTTTTCCTCCTTCCAACCCGTTGTATACATATATCGCCTTCCTCAATGCAACCCGAGTGAATTTATAATTTTTGCGTATATCAGTATTTTGCCTTTTACAACATCTTTGGCATGCCATTAATTGTTCAATAGATGTTCACCTCCTGTCATCCTGCACCTTGGAAATGCCCACTCAAGTCACGGAGTACGTGGCGGATGTAATTCCCAATGTTGTAGATTTTGAAAATCTTTGGAAGATTTGGGATACCGTGACTCTATCTATGATTTCCCAGGATGAACTGCTGTCAAAACCCATTAAGTTAAGAAATGCATTGATTTTCTATCTCGGGCATTCTCCGACTTTCTTTGGTAGGTTCGTGTATTTGTCAGTCATCCTGAGAGGTGTTGCTGAGATCAAAATAGACATCCACCTAACGAGAGCCACGGACGGCATCCCGACAGAACCTAAGCACTATCAATCGATATTTGAGCGGGGTATTGATCCAGATGTTGATAACCCGGAGCTTTGCCACGATCATTCTGACATCCCAAGCGAATGGCCACACCTTGGAGAGATTCTGACGTACAGAGATGCCGTTCGCAGCCGAGCACGCGCCATATTAGCGCATGGAGTTAAGACCCGCCGTTTGGCTGAGGCATTGTGGATTGGCTTCGAGCACGAAGCAATGCATCTGGAAACATTCCTATACATGCTCTTGCAGAGTGACAAAATTCTCCCACCACCTGGAGTTCCTCAGCCGAACTTTGAATCTCTCGCCCACCAATCTGCGTTGGAATCAAGGGAAAGTTCCTGGTTCACTATTCCCGAGCAACAGGTATCCATTGGCCTACATGATCCGGATGATCATGTTATCCCAAAGCACTCTTTTGGTTGGGATAATGAAAAACCCAAGAGGATGGTGAACGTTCCTGCATTTGCTGCACAAGCCCGGCCTATTACGAATGGAGAGTATGCGAAATACTTAGAACAGCACCATATTTCATCGATACCAGCGTCCTGGATTGACCTGGTCCTGAAGACAGCTGATGTTAGGCGGAATGGTTATGGCAATTGTAACGGCTATTCTACCAACGGGCATAACCAACTTGACTCCAGAGCTAGTAACGAGTTTCTGGAGAGATTTGCAATTCGCACTGTCTTTGGACCCATACCTTTGAAATGGGCACTTGACTGGCCCGTGATGGCTTCGTTCAATGAGCTTCAAGGATATGCAGAGTCTATGAGCTGCAGGATTCCTACCTTTGAAGAGGTTCGAAGTATCTACCAGTACTCCATGTTTCTTAAATCATTGGAGGACGATAGAGCGCTTCATTCGACGAATGGGCACGGGTAAGCAGTTAATATGTACCAGCTGGAGTAATACTTTAAATTACTGACTTGGGGTTAAAACAGCCACCGAATTGTCAGGGTCGTGAAGACCTTAGACAAATCAGTTGAACCCCCCGCGGAAGACGCTCACGGCAATCCTCGCACACCGGATCACCAGCCTGTTCAATCCCCTTCAACAAAACCCATGCCAGTGTTTATTGATCTCGACGACAATTGCAACGTCGGGTTCAAACACTGGCACCCTACCCCAGTCACCAAACACGGGAACAGGCTTTCCGGACAGAGTGAACTGGGGGGCGTCTGGGAATGGACAAGCACTCCCCTGCATGCACATGAGGGGTTCAAATCTATGGAGCTTTATCCAGGATATTCAGGTAATCAAGACTACGCTCCCTCATTCTTTAATTTTTGGTAATGGTTGACAATTTATTAAATAGCCGACTTTTTCGGTGGAAAACATAATATTGTTTTGGGGGGCTCTTGGGCAACCCATCCTCGAATCGCTGGCCGAACAACATTGTAAGGCATTTCCATCCTTTCTTATCGCATCATGCAAAAGGGCTTCACGGTTTTGCTGACATGCTGTTTCATATACACAGTGTGAACTGGTTCCAACGCAATTATATCTATGTATGGGCAGGTGCACGTCTGGTTCGGGATATCTGAGAGAATTTCGTTTTTGAGTTGCGCGAGTTCGCCAAGTGCGAAAAGCAACGGTTCTGTCCCCATTATTGACATCTCTTTTTTTGCCTCCAAAGAGGAAATAAGATTCCGAATTGATAAGCAGGATAAGTATACAATAAAAAAAATTTGGGGTGGATAATGTCGATTAATACATCAGTTATTTTCTCTTGCTATTTATTCTGCTGCTTCCTCTTTATTTCTTATTGGTTTTATTTTTATACCTCTGAATCTATGCACAATGGTGCTCCTGTTTTCGATCGCATGGTATTCAATTATCTAACAGGGGGTGGATAATATAATTGCTAGGCCAGAGCACTGCACAATGTATGAGACAAATCAAACACTGAAATGGTTCCACAGAAAAGGACAAAATGGGTATAACTCGAGATTATAAACAGTACCAGGTAAGGCTAACTAAGGCCGGGGACAATGCAGCCCCACGAGAGCAGTTCATTGGATTTAATCGCAGCACGAACAGCATCGTATTCGCATAAAAACGAGTCCAAATGTCGCTACATGATGTACGATGCAACAACCATGGCGGAAATGCTCATTGTTGCCGCCATCAAAAGGTTGATTTGATTATTGTCAAACAAATCATATCCAGCCTCAATCTTGCGGCTTTCATGCTCCAGGTCAGGAGAGCTTCCCAAACTAGAAGAAGAAGAGCGACGCTTCCTCAGGGATGGCGCAGAAGTCAAGGTATTCGCAATGTCTTCCGCAACACGGATCCTGCTTACATCTCGGTTAGATGGTTCTTCAAGGCCGGTTATTATTGATTCGCCGGGATGCACGAGAACCTAGAGATGAGGTTTAGCTTTATATGAACGACAGGTAGTTTGAAGGGTAGATGCTTAATAAGACTTACTTTCCGCCCCCCAGCTCCTTCTACAATCTTGCCTGTGCGTTTATCAACGACGCTCGCCTGGAAGAGACCTCCTAGAATGCTATCCACCACGCTTCCCAGCGTACCACATATCGTGATGGCTACAATCCAGAAAGCTTTCTCCCGCCAACCCCAGGCTGTCCCTCCTTCGAAACCTGACTTTGTGGAAGCATCTCCAGGATCGAGGGGGCAGAATGGAAGTATCAAAGATGTCACTGCAATGATAAAGGCTCCAAAAGCACCTGCCAGGAGCCCTGTCAAAGTAACGCCGCCATTAGTGCCCGGAGGCACTTTACGGAAAGTTATTGAAGTGATCAGCCTGGGTTGGCTTTTGGAAAGTATCCCAAGTTCACTCGAAAATGTATCTGCAGCTACGACAGCGTAGTGCCTGTTTTGTATTTGATAAATCAGTAGATGTAAATGACGTCGAACATTGCAAACCTCTCTTGCCATTAGAGGGTTGGGCTTACGCGGTAATCCCCACCATGAAATAATCTCCCCCGTACGGAAAACAGTAAGACTCTGGCCGATTCTCTTGATGTGATCGACCTAGATCCAGAAGAATTAAAATTGACGCGACGACAGAGTTTGCTAGCACCTGGACATGAGTTCTAGCTCCCTCCCCTCCAAGGGATCCAGATGAAGATACAGTCAGTCTAGACTTGACGTCATGTTTTATCTGGACATACATGACCGTCGTTAGCAAATACCCTCAGCTTCAATGTAATTAAGCAGACCGGTTAGTGGAATAAACCTCACCTTCGTAACGTAGGTACCGCTCAAAAAAAAGACGACGACGAAGGCAAACGGCGCAGAGCATGGATGTAATGCATGAACCACAGCCGTGAGCGCGGCAGCAACTATTCCAACCGGTGTTAGGGACTTCCGAGACCAGGCTCGATACACTAGAGCCAGAGTCGCAGGCACCGCAATGATCGGCTTCATGATTGAGAATTCTATCTTTTGATCTAGTAGGTTACGCAGAAGGAAACCTCATGGCCAAGTTGTATATTCGTAATTATAACCGAGTTTTTCAAGATCTATTGGGGTCTCAGCATGGTACTATCAATACTATTGTCCTGAAGAAGCTTCATGCGTACCCTGGCGTCCAAGAAATCTTGAAATAGGTAAAGCTTATAGATAATCCTACAACTTTAAAAGTCGATGAGGCATTGTCACCAAATATATTGATTTCATCTGTAGCTTGTCCGCTGTTGTCAGGAAGCGGTTGAGGCGGAGAGGCTGAAAATAGACTCTGAGCGGTTGCATTGTGGTACGCTAGTCTGTAATGGGAAAACTAACACCTTATGAACATGTTTTGATGTATGACGTAATCCCGCGGTCCAACCAGCGACCTTCATCAGGTCCAATGGCGAGATAAGCAACTTGAAGTTGATAGCAATAGAATACAAAACGTATCACACGAGGCATGAAGCTCTTCTAAAATGCCATTGAGGCCTATACCTTTGGCCCTCAAAACTCTAACGCGACCCTTCCCTGTTCTCAGCCGTGCTTGCCAAAGCCGCTCAGTGCATCTAGCACCCCCTTATCTCCTTGATGAATATATACCACGGCATCAACTTTTATCATCAGTGGATGCAGCAAAGAAGCGCTATAAGGCATATGCCCATTTGAGGAACTGCAATTTGTGCCCCCGGCTATGCGGAGTAAACCGGTATGAAAAGACAGGTTATTGTCTAATACCCGGAGAGACTGTGAAGGTTAATGTGATTGCGCCGCATTTTGGAGAAGAGCCATGCATTCAGGGGTCAAGAGGGAGCGGCTCAGTGTTCTTTTCGATGTGCAACTTGAGATGCACATTTTGTCAAAACCACGTTCGTTGTATATTCCTTTCTGGAGGCTTGATCCCGCTCGCCGCACACGTTGAACGTTGGCTAACGATACACATGCCACAGGACATTTCACACCAACGTAATGGATTTAATCTAACGCCAGAGGAGTTGGCAGAGTGGATGTTAAAATTACAGAACGTAGGGCAGGTCCACAACATCAACTTTGTCACCCCGGAACATGTAGTTCCACAGGTGGCCCTGGCAATCCTCACCGCTGCGGACATGGGTCTCAAAATACCCATCATATACAATACGTCTGCATTTGACTCTTTAGAATCCATAGCTCTACTAGACGGTCTCATCGATATATACCTTCCAGATTTCAAAGTCTGGAAGACCAGTTCTTCCAAGCGGCTCTTGAAAGCAGATAACTATACTGAAACGGCGATGGAGAGCATCAAAGCGATGCATGCACAAGTTGGGGATTTGAGTTTTACCTCTGACGGTATTGCGAAACGTGGCGTGCTCCTTCGACATTTAGTAATGCTAGGGATGGAAGACGAAGGGCGGGAAATCGTGCGTTGGCTGGCTGAGAATGTATCGAAGGATTTATATATTCATATTATGGAGCAGTATCATCCCGATGCTCACGTTGGCAAGAGGCGACGAGGAAAAACTGGTGGCCAAGAGATTCGGTATGCGGAAATCAATCGTGCGATCAATGATAATGAACTAGACGCTGTCAAGAACGCGGCTAGGGATGCGGGCCTATGGAGACTGTGTGAACCAGCGGAGCATGCAAGTTTTTACGTATGAAAAGTGCATCCCACTGTAGAAGACATGCTTCTCTTGCACCGAGTGAATAGCCGCTAATGATAACGACTCCTACAATTAAACATCTGCGAACCTTTTGATAAACCGTTAAAACTGCCGGCATTGCCGCAGACAACCCTGCTGCCCCATTTTCCATCATACATCTCGTTGCTCCGAAAACAATCGTCGCTCGAGGCGTCTTCGCATTTCAAGTATATTCACAGTTGCCCGAGAAGGCAGAAGAAGATACTGTAAAAAGTAACAAGTAAAATCTAAGCATATTCAATCAAAATCAAAACGGTTAAAGCAAAAAGAAGGGAGAGGGGCACTATGGCTATATCCTTTTCGGATCTTGCGGTTTTCCAACAATAAATCGTTCCTCCCAATAAGGAAATAAAGAGCATGCTGGAGGTTGGCTTTTCAAAGTGGATTGACAGCCTTAGGGTTTGGTGGGAACTCCAGGAAAAGATATTCAAACCCCCAGTTTCCATGTTGTGTCGCCTGGTTTTCGCGGCTTAAAGCATGTATTTTCTATGATAGCATTTTCGTCCGACGAGAGTCCTGCCACACTGCCATACGAGGCAACATAGGGATGTTGAAAAATTCTCTGGCTGGGCGGGTGAGGGTGACCGGTGTGTTTTGGCGCTTGACTCTGGCATGGTCCACGATAGAGAAATGAAAGCTCCCCATTAAACCGCCCTGGTTGATATGCCAGGTTAAAAATTAAGTTAACTTCCTGAGTATTCTTAATTAGTTAGTAGTTGACTATAACTAGTGGGTTTGGGGATGCGGTGAAAAAAGATTGGCTGCCAAATTATGGGCCAATCCCACATAACGGCGGCCAATGAGGATCTGTTGAAAAACTATCTCTGAAGTAATTAAATTTTGTAGGAGGAGGAATACCTCAACGAGGTATACAGTAGATACGTGTGATGATGGCTGGAGGAATATAACGGGGCATTTTCACCGTTTGCAAAATAAACGAAATGTGTTCAACTGCAGATGGATGATTGAATCCGACGGTGGATTCCGCAACGCTTTCATTTAGCTCTCCATGACCATTACACCGGCTTCTGGGGAGTCTCCACATGCGGTGGGGTCTGGGCTGCTGAATACTGCGCTTACTTACCTGGATGGAGCCTGTGTGATTTTGTTTCTTGTTTCTTCATCGTACGGACCAAACAAGTCCAGAATTCATATTTACCACCACGGCTTCCCCGCCCCCACCATGCTCAAGGAGAAACACACATACACAACATATGACGAGTTCATCAACAATGCTCCCGTTTCAGAGGATGACATCAACTTCTTCTCGGCCATTCCGTGCGCCAAACCGTTCCTTAATAACCCATCCACGTATCGCGTCATCCCGTTCCTCCCGCGCTTCGATAGAGGGGAGGAGGACACAACGGACAGGTTCTTCAGCAACGTAATCAACACGCCGGACACCGTCCCGCGATTAGTCGCTGTTGTGCGCAGACCCGAATTGAATCCACTGGCTGCCGTGCTGTCAGCTAGGGGTTCGGGGACGGAGGATGAAAAATCGACACGGTCGCCGACACCACCGCCCCCACCTCCAGCCGCCGCTGTGCAAAATTCGCCGCCGGCTGAAGATGCAGACTTTCTCCTCCTCCTCCAGCTGGGCCCCTCGCTAAGCGGGTTCCGCGACACGGTTCATGGCGGCGTTCTTGCTACGTTGCTAGACGAAACGCTGAGTAACTGCGTGGAAGCATTTAGGCAGGATATGCCAGTCAATGGTGGAGAGTCCAGGCCGCGTTTATACACTGCAAGATTGCAACTTTCTTTCCGATCGCCTGTGGAGACTCCTGGAGTAATCATCGTGAAGGCGTGGTTGAAAAGGGTGGAGGGGAGGAAGTGGTTTTTGGAGGGCCAGGTTGTTGGCGAGGATGGGACAGTTAGAGCGGAGGCACAGTCGTTGTGGGTGATGGAGAAGGCAACAAGGGGGAAGCAAGCTGCCCTTCTGTAGGTACAACTGAGCGCGTTTCCGATGTAATGCTTACAGGAAAGAATGCGACTCAACAAGATGGCTTACAAGCATATAGAATACTGGCTGGTTGGTGGGTCGGCCAACCACCACGAAAAGCATTGGTGGTTGGTTTTTAGAATTGAGAAATGTAGGTAGCTTATACAATAAAATAAATATCATACATCAATCTTCTTTTTCTAGACGTCTTTCTCAAAGTAGATATCCATACATATATTTTCGGGACGACGGCTGGGATAGCTCGGATAGCGTAAAAGTACATGTCCACGATCGCCCAGAAAACAGCGGACAAAGATACAAATCCTGGTCAACCTGCCAAAGGAAATAAGGAATCCTTTATACATCGAAGAATTGTAAAGGAAATACACGCCCCTTTTACATGTCGAAATTGAAAACGGAGGATGCGAAGGAGGATTGAAATAAGTTACAACAAGAAGAAGAGTATCATAAGAGGAACAAAATGAGAACCTCGCTGGCCGCCATGAACGCCAAACAGAATGCGGCGGTGGTGTACATATATCAAAACCAAAAAAAAAAAAAAAAAAAGATCACTGGTATATATATGCATGTGTCGAAGATGAGATGATCCGTTGCTCTCTATATTCTGCTTTTGTCCATCATATTCCTCAGCGCCTAGAAATGTAGGAGAGAAAAAAGGTATATCGAAAGGAAAATGAATAAGTATGTATAGATTCGAATCGTTTTATGAGAAAAAATACTCGCTGTTTTTCAGTTTCGTGACGTCGAATTGGCCCTGCATATAGTTAGTAAAAAAGAAGTCAAGGAGACTGGTACAAAACAGGAAATATGGAACATGTGATAAAAAATTTAATGCATACCTTTGCGGGAACTGCGCGGAAGGTCAACGGCAGCCAAACCCAAATAGGGGCAGGTTTAGACTTGGCCTTCGGCTTTGTGCTTGGCGATGCTGCAACATCGAGACCCTGGTCCATTGAGAGCTCGTCCGGCTGGTTGGAAGGATCAACTCTCAGTGCATCACCCAAAAGCGATTCTTCAAGCTCATCTAAGGGGTCTTCCGAAGTGACTACTCGGTCCCCTTTGGGCTTTACGGATTCGTCCGGCGGAATTTGTCCGATGCCTGCTACACCGAGAGATTGCATTGAGGCAAGTGAGGACTCGGCATCCTGGAGCTCTGCAACGAACTTTCCAGCTGTGACCATTTCACGGCCCTGAGTCTGCAACTTCGGGTCGTTGGATCGCAGGAGTTTCAGTCGCCTATACTCATTAACAAGTTCATCCAATTGGGCCTGCTTGCTATTTGCTGATTTGGTAGTCTTGCGCCATTTCGATATCGTCTTTGCCAGTTGCGTATTAGGCTGAACGTGGGCTAGATACATGTGATTTGCGTATCTAGTTTTGAATTCGGAAGCCAGTCTCTGTATGATATCTTCGGAGTGCATTCGAACAAAGGCATCACGAAGCACACGGTTCATAGTATCGACATCGGCTGCGTGGGTCCAGAAAGAGTCGTGGACTGCGGAGAAAGAGAGACCGAGTTCGTCGCATTTGACCGCGGAAAGAAACATGTGAGTAGCGTCAAGGGAATGGACGAAATTGGGAGGGAACGCCTGTAGTTGTTTACGCTTGTTGACGACATCACTGGCCTGAGGGTTCCGGATGCTGAGCTGCTGCAAATCACTAAAAACTTTGACGCAGGCAGCGTCTCTATAGGGCTGGGCAACAGGGAGTTTCAAGGGAGTTGTCCAGACAACGGTAGATTTAAAGTGGGATTTGGGATCCTTGATATTTTTTGCCAACTTTTTTGCACCTTGGAATCTCCCCACTACCTTCAGGTTCCCTTCGTCTGAAAGGGCCTCGACTTGCTCAGGGCTCAAGGACTGACTGATACGATTTGCACAATCACCAAGCCAAAATTGGATGTCGTGGGCACCAGTAAACATCGAACCTAATGCAACAAATATCTTTCTCGCGATATATGTGGCGCATTCACCTGCAACTCCAGAATGCAAGAGGTCAGGGTAATGATCCACCAGTTGTTTCCGCACCTGCCGGATCGCCCCGAGGAATGTGACACCGTAAACGTTGGTCATAACCGTCTGTTTCACAATTTTCCTGGTGATTTTGTCTTCGAGTAGTTTTGCAGTTTCATTCCCATTGGCTGCATCCTTTTGAATGGATTGTTTGACGTGTTCCGCAACGCCGGTATATATATCCGAGGGGCGATCGGAAGGCTCAAGGTTCACCTGTTGGGCGCCGATAACATCACCTCCCAGGGCAGCATAATGCTGAAGACCATTGCAAGAACCATCTTGATGAACAGGCAGGTGGGAGACAAATTTGGTTGGGTCTTCTAGTGCCATTGCATTTGTCAATTCTATACAGGCTGCAAGACACTGAAAGGGGTCTCCAGCATCAAGCCACCATCTTTTGCCCTTTAAACCATTAATGGCGGAGTCTCTGATGTCTTCCAGGTGGTCCATTGCAAACTGCTCCCGTTCTTGGAAACTAGCTTTATCGAAACCAAACACGTTCGCAAGATGAATTTTTAGCCACCTCAGGCCGCTTGCGCCTAATTCGCGACCTTTACTGAACAAGAGAAGACCACGGCAATGATCGGCACCCATTTGATTAAAGTATGGTGGCATCGGATATGCGCGGCCACGGAAATCCAAGTTGTGGGGGAGATAAAAGGTTTCGTTCCTGTATGCTCGCGCAATTTCTAATTGGAAATTCTGGAAACATCGCTGTGAATGGTATCCTGTACGAGCGTTAGTGGCATGCATTTTTGCCCGATAATAATCTTTAAGGATATCTCGGTCGTCCGTGTCGGGCTTTTCTGGTTCGATGATATTTGGATTTTCAGGAGCAAGGTTAGCAATTTCTTCGCCACTATTCCAGGCCTCGAGCATCACATTCAAGACCCCTCGGTTGATTTTCCAGCCAGTTTTTCCTAGGACAGTTAATCCAGCAAAGACAGTATCCAGGTCTCCACGGGCTGCTGCGGTTTCCACATAACTCAGTTGAGAGATATCCCCTTGTTTGACTCGCATAACTGTCGACGGATATTCGAGAAAGCCACCTCCTCGAGAACTGGTCCAGGGGCGTGGAGGACAGACCATGGGCAAGTGTTTTGCTAACAATTCACCGAGAGGTTCTCGGCGTAATTTCTCTATGATATAGTCATTGGCATGAACATAGCCAACTCTAAACCCACGTTCCAATTGGTAAACTCGTCTGAAAGCGGCTTGGTCAGTCTGCTTTTGCTGGTTCGTTTTCTGATCTTTCGTAGGAACAGGAACAGTTGCTGTCGACAACAGCATTGACGCAAGGCAAGCTCCAATTTTGGCTTGAACAACAGGTGACCAATCAACTGGCCTTTGGCTTTGCTCAAATCTTGCAATTATTCGTCGCCATTGAATTTGTGCCTTTCTTGTGCCCTTGTGGACAAGTTTATCGATGAGGGCCGAGGTTTTCTTTGTAGGTTTAGACTTCTTCTCCAATTCACGCAGTTGCATCGCCAAGTACTCGTCGTAGACTGCCTTTCCCACGTACATCACGAGCCCTGTCAACTTTACCCCCTTATCCACGCCACTTTTATTGAGAGCATTAAAAGTGCTAAGAATAGTCAGGGCGGCGAGTTTGTCGGTCTTGATCGCTCTCAGATATGGAGATATTTCTACACGTTGGCTGTCCGCCGGTGACATGCGCGACTTCTTTTCAGATTCCTCGATACGTTCCAGCTCCTCATTTATCCTTGACATGAGCTGTGTGTGCCAATCGTATAGAAAGGCGCCCATCGGCTTGCTGGGAATAGGATTGACTCCAACTCTGTGCAGCATTTCGCTTTCCTTCTTCCAACGGGCAATAGCTGACTCGACGCAATCTGATTCAAGGCGACGTTGCCTCATCTGCGCATAAGCCAGATCCTGTTCTTCTTGGGAACCAGTCAAATCGGGTGGTCTTGGAACCGCTTGTTCCGAGTCAAAAATAGATAAAGTCTCTCTCAGCGAACTGAGGCCAAGTCCTCGTTGATCGGTAGGGCGAACAATAGCAATATCGTCAGGAGGGTGCACCTTCGGTTTAACTTTAGAAAAGTCTTCGTCCGGTTCGATGGAGGATTCGTCCGGCATGGTTGAGTCATTATAAGCATTTTCGGAACATATCTAGTTAAAGAATATCATGTAATTAGTCACAAGAAAAGAAAATCCGTAACGCGATCAACTAATAGAGCATACCTCTGATAGCAGCCCCAAGTCCGCTTCCGATAATATGGGAAGACCCAACACTTCCTCTTCAATCTCTGCATCCTTTGCAAGATTCCAATACCTCCTCACTGTTCGTTTCTGCTTATTCTCAAATAACATCCGTAGCGCCATCTTAATCATCAAGGCGTAGGTTATGGCATCCGGTTCCGCAAAAGCATACTTCATGTCGACTTCAAACCATTTCTGCGCCCACCACACCATCCCGTAGCGTCGGTGGACAATCATATGCGAGATCATTGAACGTAGATATTTGTTGTGAAGGTCAAGGACTTCCGGCGTACCGTACCCAATGAGTTTGGCGACACGATGAATCAGAATCTCCGAGCGACGAAACATAGCAGCTGAGAGGCTGACATCTAAGTTTGCAAGCATCTCACTCAGCTCGCCTCCAATTCCATTAGATCTTCTAACAGAAGGCGGCCGGCTGATTAGGAAATCCTTTCGTATGATGACTGAAGAGGTATCGATGTCGTCGGGCTCCGGATAAGGAAGCCGCTCGTTCCACGGCGAATTCGAAAGAGGGGAGACATTTAGAGGCGAGTGGATCTCTGCATGCCCATATGGTAAACCCTCGAACGGAATATTGATATCTGATGTTGCTGTCGCTAATGAACGGGTGGATTGTAAGGATAGGGAGTTAGGAGCCTCGAGTGTTGGCAGGATAACCGGTCGACACAAAGTTTGAATTCTGCTCGATTGGCACTTCAATCGCGGGTACACAGAGGAAATCCACGGAGAGGATAGGTGCTCATACGATCTGCCTAATTGGAGTAGCGTTTGTCGCCGTTGAGCGGCCCGACACAACATGCTTGCAGAAAATTAGAATTCTGATTACAATCGATACAGATGAGCAAAAAAATGAGAGAACAATGAAAGGGAAACATTCGAAAGGGAAAAG